AATTTCATCCACTTTCATGGCTTCATCTACTGTTACTACAAGGATGGCCCTAAGTTCTGCATATCTGCAGTCCTGACCTCTCTCTTAAGCTCCAGAGAAGCATTCTGGCTGCCTACTAGACATCTCCACCAGTCATAACTTCAAACTCAGTCTGTGTCAAAGGGAGTCTCGTAAAGCCTGGGTGATCATGTCAGTCCCCTCCTTAATAAATATTTGCTGATTGGCCGCTATCTAAAACCCAGCTCATCTTCCCTGATAAATAACTCCTCCTGAATTCCCTTTTTCTGTCAATGGCATTGCTGTGGCTTCCAGTCACCCAGGCTGGAAAACTTGCTCATTGATTCTTTCCTCCCCTCTGCTTCCTCCTTCCTCCCATTGGAGTCGGCTCCTAAGACCTGTTCATCCTGTCCTTTACTTTGTCCAGTCTTTCTCCTTTACTTCTGAAATGTCTGCTATGGCCATCCCTTTACGACTCCTCTTTCTAGAAGTATGCAGTATAAAAGAAGAGAGAGGTGGGTATTTTTTGTCTTGCTTTGAGGACTGGGGAGATCTGAAAATGTTTATAGGCAAAAGAGTAGTCAATGGGGAGGGAGGGACAGACAAAGAAGAGAACTGCTGGATCGACAATTTCAATTCCTATCCCATCACCCTTCCCCCCCTTTCCTCCATATCCCATGACCATAAAGAAGATAGTCAGGTAAGGCAATTTTACCAAAACCACCCAACTAGTAAGCAGCAAAGGCGTGTTTCAAATGCCATATCCAATGTTCTTTCCACTGGAGCCCAGCCTCCCTTACAAAAAGGTTTGGGTAAGAATGATGCCTTTGTGAGATTCAAAGCGCCTGCTTCTAATTATAGTATCCATTTTAACTGTGCTGACCTTGGATGGCCAATTTAGCATTCTTCTCTCTACTCGTATGTGGAAGACCTAGTTATAGGTTTCTAGCTTGAATATTCTACCTACGTTTTCAAAATCTATCTATATATCTAAGGTTGCCTATCCTCTTCTACCCTCAATTAATAAATACACCAGACTGTTAAAGAGTGAAACACAGCCTTATTTCCATGTACATTTTCTTCAACCTTTTCTTTAAAATTTCTTCAAAATCAGAGGGTAGGATCATGGCCTTAGTTCTACACACTGTTTGGTAATCATCATTCTAGCTTTATTGAACATTCTTTGGAGGTAAAGGTAGAGATATTTAGGCTACAAAATTCAAGTCAAGATCCTCATTAACTCTAAATTACATACAAACAAAATCAATTCCTAACCAAATATCTAATATTACATTTTATTAATAATAGCTAGGTAGTACAATACATAAACTTGGAGTTAAGACCTGAGTTCAAATCTATCCTTAGATACTTCCTTAGCTGGGTGAACTTGGGCAAATCAGATCAAACCTTTCTCAGCCTCAGTTTCCTCTTCTGTAAAATGGGAATAATAGCACCTATCTCCAAGGATCAAATGAGATGGCATATTTAAAGTGCTTTGCAAACTCTAAAGTGCTATATAAATACTGGCTATTATTTTACATAAACGCTTAAAAAAAACAAAAACTCATCCAGGAGCAAAACAGAATATTATAATGAGGCCAAAAGGAGCTATACCTCCCAGACATTCTCCTGACTCCATACCCAATCTGCAGAATGTCCTTTAATTTGAAAAAAATCAATTACAGAAATCTACTTTTCAAAGGTTTATTAATGGGGATAATAATATTTGCATTCCTTATCCCACAGGGTTGTTATGAGGAAGTGACTTTATAAACCTTAAAGAAATATGTAAACGTGAATTACTGTTGTGATTGACGTCTAAAGAAGGCCACATTTACTATGTTACTTTTCATTTATTTGTGGAAGTACGGTGAACTGAAAAGCAAAATAGTAATTTAATACAATTGCTACTAACATGACCAATTGAACCAGGGGCATGCGCCCTTTGTAATCCCACACTGCACATAGCTGAGCCTGCATGCCCCACAGTATCAAAAAGGGCAGCCTAACCTTGGGATCCCCATGTCCCGAGAATCCTATTGCACACACACTATAAGCATCAATGCCTACTACACTGGAGTTTGAATACTCTTCAAAAGGGGAGTAACAGAAAGAAGGGCAAGTAGAAGGTAAAAGTGGCAACTGTAGCATTTTTTTCCCTTGATGAGGAAGAACGACTTTCTGCCCTGGTTTCTCTAACATAATTGGGCTTAGAATTGACCTCTGTCTGACTCGGTCTTGCTATTAAGAAATGTGTTCTTCTGTCCTTTGGGAAAGATTGTCTAAAGAGAACCTGGCAAAAACTGCAAAAGAGAAATTTCACAATACTACTGCAAAAAATATTTGTTAAAAATTGAAGGAAATTAAAGATACAGAGGGAAAAAATCCATTTTTAAGTGACAAATCTTCACAGAAGCTTCGCAAGTCAAATGATTATGATATAGATATGTTATGACAGACAAAGATCTGTAATACTCCAGTTCCCTTCATATGCTGATCCATTTTTATGGACAATTATCAAATTTCAACATACATATTGATGCTTTTAATTCAAAGCACTGAACCCTTAGTTAATGAAGAGTAGGAGGCACCATGACATTTTATGGAGAAAACATGTATTGCAATTCAGATAGTCTTAGAAGACCAAGTCATAGTGTTTTGAATCACACACACACGTATAAAAACCAACACCACAGGAATATAAATAGCTCTGAAAAACTCTAAGCAAGTGAACATTTCATGTCATTGTACAACTAGTTAATTCTTCCTTTGAGTGACAACCTAAGAGATCTCCAAATAGAAAAGGAGTTCACTTATTTTGTATTTTCATCTTATCACCAAATTTCAACTTCACTTAGGTAAGGAGAGTGGTAAACACGATAAAATTTCTTGAAAACAAACTTATTTCTGGCTTTTACTGACACTCCTACTCACTCTACAGCACTTCCTTTTCTCTGGGCAGGGCACCAACCTAACCACAAGTGAAGAAGCTGCTACATGTCAGTTTTGTTTGTTTCTTTCCGACAGAAAACACTCAAATTGTTGTATTCTTTCTAAACTTTAATTTACATAAACTCTCCAAAAAAATCACTATTTCATATGTAAGAAATTTCATAAGATTACTAAGATAGCTTTAAAAGATGAAAGGAAAAACTTTACCAAGAAAAAAAATAAAATTATTTATTTAAAGAATAAAAACCCAAGTAAATTTGTAGAAGAGTTCTCCTTCAGTTTACCTCAAGTGAAATCCTTGACCACAAAGCCATAAATTTCCATTTTGGATTGTTGTTATAAAAAATGACTGAACCTTAAAAATCACCTAGCCACTGAACAAAAGGAAATGCTTCCTTTGATAACATTTTTATAATACAAACTCCTGTTGAAATGCAAGTGACAGAGGACTGATCCTTTATAGCACAGGTCTCTGCATCATTACCAACATTCACAATCCACTCTAATTTGCTTTGAGGGCAGCAACTGTTTTAACTAGCATTAGTACAACACACAGAGTTCCTTCATGAAAGGGAAAGTACAGCATTACTCAGTCCACGAAAGGCAAAGTCATCACAAATCTAGCTGGAACGTATGCTCTAATTGTACCCCAAGCAGGCGGGAAATTAGATATTTATGAAATCTTTCTAAACTACAGCAATACAAGACTGAGTTATAAAAAAGAACTCACAGTGTCTAACTTTGGAAGAAAGATGAAAAAGAACGTGTATGAAAATAACACATTAATACACTTAGCAAAGAACTATACTAAGTTACCCTGAAATTCAGTCACTTCTATGTGAAGGGATTATTACAAGTAATAAGTACTTTCGTATTTAACTCTTACCTTTTAATTGGGAATAAAGTTGACCACACTCAGATAAAAGATAATAATCATATTATATTGGTCAAATGGCAAAAATCAATTAAGTTTTTTTTAAAGGGACTTAAAATTTTCTATGAAAGCAAAAGGAAGATTGTAAACGTTATATTGTATCTTGAGATCCTTGTTCCAAAGACTTTTATTATGGCTAGAATTCTGATGGAGAGACACTAAATTCCCTTTTCAGCTTGGCCACTGCTTTACTATGCTATCTTAGGTAGCAAACTTCTGTTAGGTCACCTTTTCTGAAGTAGAAATAATACATGGCCTATGCCTACTGTACAAAACATATAATATGGGAGACATTTTATACCTCGGAGAAGTTACATTATTAATCCAAGGCAGTTATTAAAGCAACACGGTTATTACCGGTACAGAATTTACATTTCTTCTAAGCATGAGAAAGTTTATAGTTTACAAAGATAAAAAGTAATCATTTATATAAAAATACACATAGTTACAATGGGTCACCAACTGCATCGATGTTAGTAAAAAAGAATCACTTCATTGACAGCTGCATTCATATCATTATGAGGAATATGACTGGCTTGTGATATTTTCCTTTACATTCCCAACCTGATGAATTGCGCAAATTTCATGTATCCTTGATATTCCTTGCATCCATTAGAAATGAACCACAGAAAACGGTTACATGAAGCTATGCACAGAATTTTAGTCCCAGACGGGGCCTCTGAGGCCCTCTATTCATAGGCCAGCCCACCCCTCAATTTACAGGGGAGAAAACGGAGCTAAGGCACAAAGAGAATCACACAGGACCCCTACCCCCAACTCCATCATTTCCCAGTCTCTCTGCAAAGCAACCCCTCCCTCCTGGCCTTCCCCCAACCCCCTCCCCCCATTTCTTCTTCCCTCCCAGACTCGCTTTGCTCCCAGCACCCCCTTCCTCAATTTGGCACCAGAACCCACCCCGACCCGCGGACCCCGAATTCTCCCGAGGCCGGCTGGGACCCCAGCTACCTCCCGTACCCTCCCCTGGAGCACAATCACACGCCTCCAACAGGCCCCGCCTCTCACACGCCCCCTCTCAGGCCCCGCCCCGGCCCCGCCCCCCACCTCGCGCTCCCCCACGCACCGCCCCCCCCCCCCCCGCCCCGTCTCGGGCCCGGACCTGCCTCCGCGCTGCCTGCAGCCCCTGCAGCCGCTGGCCCAGCTCGCGCCGGTAGCTCTGCGCCGCCTCAATGCTCTCCCGGGCCTCCTGAAGCAGCAGCTCCAGATCCGGCTCGGGCTCCATCCTCCCTCTCATCCAGCCGCCGCCCCGGCCCCCGGCCCCGGCACTGGCCCAGCCTCTTCGGAGGCGGAAGCGTCAGACCTCCTCCCCCGCTGGCCTTTCGAACAAACTTTATTGACAGCCCGGGTTGGGCCCAAGGCGCAGCCGCGAGGGGAGGCCACGCCCCTGCCCCGCTGACCAATCCGCGTGTGCCTGGGAAGCACCTCCACAGCCCCGCCTCCGGGGGGAGGGACCTAGTGCTCTTACCCAGCCGGGGGAAACTGAGGACGGGGAAGGGCCAGCGTCTGAGGGCAGGCCACGTTTAGTAATGTATAGATCAGGGACGAGAGTGTAAAGCGCCCCCTAGAGAGGCGAGAGGAGCATGACGAGCCGGGTGGGTGAGTGCCCTCTGTTGGGAGGCCTGTGGGGAAGGGTCATTTCCCAACTGTGATGCAACATCGAAATCAGTGGAGAATTAAAACACAAACATAGAACTTAAATTGCCAGTGCGTTAGGATGAGGACTTAAAATTTTTTTTTGGTTCTGAACTTAACAAAGTTCCCATGTGCAGCAAGGAGCAGAGGAGGATTGTGCATGAAACTATGAATCTCCATTACATGCATCTTGCTTTCCTTCTTAAGTATCATATAATGAATTCAACAGGTAGTTGGGTTTTCTTTTTAAGGCGTGTTCAGTTAATACTGGACAACCCATGTCCAACAATTGGGGAATGGCTGAACAAGTTGTGGTAGGTGATTGTGATGGAATACTATTGTCCTATTTCAGAAAAACCTGAAAAGAATTACATGAATTGATGCAAAGTGAAGTGAGCAGAACCAGGACAACACTGTGCACAATAACAGCAATATAGTACAATATCAATGGTGAATGAGTTACCTGTTCTCAGCAATACAATGATCCAAACCAATTCCAAAGGACTCATGATGAAAAATGCTATCCACTTGCAGAGAAAGAACTGATGGAGTCAAAATGCAGATCAAAGCATACTTTTTTTTGCTTTTTAAATTTTTCTAGGTTTTTTTTTTTTTTGGTCTGTGTTTTCTTTTACAACATTACTATGGAAAGATGTTTTGCATGACTGCACATGTGTAATCTATATCAAATTGCTTGCCTTCTCAATGAGGGCAGAAGGAAGGGAAATAGAGAATTTGGGAGAAAATTTTAAAAATGAATATTAAAAATTGTTTTTACATGTACTAGGGGAAAAATAAAATATTAAATGTATCTAAAATGTCCTCAAAATGACTTGACTTAATTGAGTTTCTTGCCAATCTCTCTTTCAATTTTTTTCTGGACTGGTTCTTACTATTTTATGAGGTAGTACTTTATCATCTTCTACCATTGTCTACATAATATCTTACAAGCAAGTTTATATTCTTTAACTGATAAAAGTTTAATCGCCTAGGTAGTTTCTATTCTCTAGGTCTCTCCCTTGTGGGGACTGATTTATGTTGGTTAAGCTTCCTTAACTGTCAGTTTGTATTGATGTCCATTATTTTATCTATTTCCCTTTTAATCACATCAGCGGCTTGTTTAAAAGGATCAAATTGTTTAAAAGGACCTGTTGTCCTATATCTCTTCTGCCTTTTGTAGTTAAACATTTCAAAAAGGCTGTCTACAATAAGTGCCTCCACTTTCTCTTTTTCCATTTTCTTCTTAACCCCTCACAATCCAGCTTTCGACCTTATCATTTCACCAAAGGTGCTCTTTCCAAGGTTACTAATGATCTCTCAGTTGCCAAATCCAATAGCGCTTTCTCAGTCTTCATTTTCCTTGACCTCTCAGTAGCCTTTGACAGTGTTGATCATCCTGTCCTTGATACTCTCCTCTCTTAAGTTATTGTGATACTACTGTCTCTTCCTACCTATCTGGCCCCTCCTTCTCTCTCCTTTGCTGGATCCTCTTCCAGTTCACACCTTCTAAGGGTAGGTGTCCCCCACAGTTTGGTCCTGGGCGATTCTCTGCTCCCTCTATACTATTTTACTTGATGACCTTATCAGCTCCCATGGATTTAATCACCATCTCTATGCTGATAATTCTCAAAGCTACCTATTTTGCCCCAACCTCTTGGCTGATTTCCCATCTCCCACCTCCAACTGCCTTTCAAACATCTCAAACTGGATGTCCAGTAGACATGTTAAACTCAATATGTCCAAAAGAGAACTCATTGCCTTTCCCCCTAAAACCTTCCCCCACCATCTTCTTTATTACGGTAAAGAGCAACACCATCCTCCCAGTCCCTCAAGTTCACAACCGAGGCTAAATCATCAGCAGCTGTTCACTCTCTCTCATCCCATCACGTCCAATCTAGTGCCAATGTTGATTTCACCTTTGCAACATCTCTTATATACACTGACTTCTCTCTCTTCTTACACAGCTACCACTCTAGTACAGGCCCTCATCACCTCACTCTCAGCCTATTGAAATAGTCTCCTGGGGCATCTGCCTGCCTCTGCTTTCTCCCTACTCCAACCCATCCTCCATTTAGCCACTCAAATGATTTTCCTAAATGGAGGGTCAGATCATGTCACTCCCCTACTCAATAAATTCTAGTGGCTCCCTATTGCCTCCGGGATCAAATCCTCCACCATTCCAGTCTCTTATACCCTATTCCCCAACATGTGCTCTTGGATCCACTGATAATGGCCTGCTGGTTCCACAAACAAGACATTCCATCTCTTGGTTCCAGGCATTTTCTCTGGCTGTTCCCCATGCCTCAAATTTTCTGCCTTCCCTACTCTGACTACTGACCTCCCTGGCTTCCTTTAAATCCCAACTAAAAAGCCTTCTCCAATTCCTCTTAATTCTAGTGCCTTTCCCCTGTTAATTATTTCCTATCTATCCTGTGTATACAGCCTCCTTTGTATGCTCCCTGAGGGTGAGGATTGTCTTCTCTTTTTTGAGTCCCCAGTGCTTAGCACAGTGCCTGGCATATAGCAGGTACTTAATAAACGTTCATTCATTGGTTGATTTGCACAACTGATTTTTATTCTTTATTCTAGTTTGACCTTGCTTTTTTATCATTGCACTACCAACTCAGAAATAATTCCTACATTGATAACTGGTCAGCTGTAATTTTGTTTTTTGGTGTTTGCCATGTCTGTTGTCTCTTATGAGAGAGATGGAAGGTGGGAAGATCTGAGTAGGCTGGAAGAGCAAGAGGAGAAAATAGATGTGAAGCCAGGAAGTTGCCCTGAAGCTACACTTAATTCCTACTCCTACTAAAAAGAGGTTTTCCTTCTTCTGTACCAAGAAGCAGTAGCTGCACACATTCCCCCCCTCCTCCCTGTCCCTGTAATTTGATCTGCAATTTCAGTCCTGAGAAACTGCATTTGTAAGACTTCAATACTTCACATATCTGGTACCTTGATGTGTTATCATGCAAGCCCGGAGGCTCCGGGATTTGATCACCTGGCCAGTTTGTCATGTCCTTCAACCCTCCTCTAGATGACTGATGTAGTAGCATGGGTAGGGCTGATCAAGTAGATTTTCAAACTTCTTTTTCTTGTTCTGCCACACTGTTACAAAGCCACACCGATAAGCTGACTCAGGAAGCAGAGTCATAAAAATTCACAACCTATACTCCCTGAAACTTTGGGAGACTGATAAGAGTTCTATTCTTGATTCTTCTCTCTTAGGTATCTTGCATTCTATTTTGAGTATATATACTTTTTGCAATGCTACATAATTAATTAATACATAGTTAATATATAATTAATAACACATAATCAGTTTTGGCCAGTTGGAGGAGATAAAGATGAAAAATTTGGGGATCTGGAGGAATAAGTGAATAACCAGTAAATTCAAACAGTTTCAAGGAACCTGGATGCGATAGTTGGGTACTGGGTGGTCGGATAGGCAATCTCTATCTACTGAGGCATTCCATTACATGTTTGGATAATTGTTGGCATGATGTAGGTTGTATAGAACATGCACAAATATGCTTTGCCTGCTTCTAGCCAGCTATATGTGTGACTCAGCATTTGGGTGTGTTAAAGTTGGTGAACTCCCTGGTGATGAAGTGATGAAAGGACTTGAAATTTTGGTATGACGTGGCAAACCCTGAAAGGTCTTCCCTCTGCCCTATAATAGTAGCTAACAATGAGACAGAGCGCTTCATGAGTTAAAAGAAGATAAAAGAAAAGTCCTCTGCTTTAATCATGCCATGTAGCAAATAGAGTGTTATGTTTCTAAACACCCCAAGAACAGGTTGGAGGGATAGGCTGTCCTCTTTTCTCCCATCTCCTGACCATTTTCATGTGTAACATGGTCTCAGCTAGGCCAGCTGCCTTTTCTTTTTTCTTTTGTGGAGGCAATGGGGTTAAGTGACTTGCCCAGGGTCACACAGCTAGTAAGTGTCTGCCTGGCTGCTTTTTTTACTTTGTCTTTACTTTCCTGAGTAGTATGTAATTTTCAAGGTTTGGAGGAGACCTTGTAAGTTCAAGACATCCAGAGGTCAGCAGCATGAAAAGTTTCTGAAAAGTCAGTCATTGACAAGAAGAACCCAAGTCCCTGCATCAGCTTACCTAAAGACATGGACTTTGAAGGAGGCAATGCAGAACCACAGTGAAATGTAACATGTCTGAACAGCAGCTCTGTGAAGTTCATATTTAGATGGTTTCAATGAGTCTAAGTCTCTTAGCTGAGAATATCAGTAGTTATCATTGTGACTTGTTTAGTTTATTTTATGCAGCTCTTATTTTAGTTTACCTTTTGTCAAGTAGCAAACATTAATTTTCTCTTCTGTTCATTTTCCTCCCCGCTGATGAAAAAGAAAAAACAAAACTCTTGTAACACATATGCATAGTAAAGCAAAACAGATGATCACATTAGCCATATCCAAAATGTATGTCTGCTTCTGTACCATGAATCCATCACCTATCTGTCAGGAGGTAGGTAGCATACGTCATCATCACACCTATGAAACTGTGGTTGGTCATTGGATTGATCAGAGTTCTTAAGTCTTTACTTTAGCTCAAGCATAACAGATTTTGCTCCAACATCTTATTTTAACTCTGTGTGAATCTTTGTTTCAAATATGTTTCTTGTAAACAACATATTGTTGGATTCTGCTTTCTAATCCATTTTACTATTCTCTTTTGTTTTATGAGTGAATTCATCCCATTCACATTGGCAGTTTGGATCATTAATTGTGTATTTCCTCCCATCCTATTCTTTTACATCTTTCTTTCGATTTGTTTCCCACACACCCCACCCCTATAAAGAAGAAGAAGGTGAGAGAGGAGAAGCATGCTCAGCACCAGTGGCCTAGGTTTGGTATAGTCTGCTTCTGTTCTCCTACCCCTTTTCTCTGTCCTTCACACAGAGTCCAATCACAGATTCTTATTCTTTCCTTCTTTTCTTTTCAACCCCATTTTCTGTTCTACCCACCTTGGTGTTTGTTTCGGTTAGGATTGATCCCTCCCTTAAAATAGTTTCCTTATTCTCCCTTATCTCTTTTCCCCTTTCCCTCCAGTTACCCTGCTCAGTTAAATGTATTTCTGTACCCAACTGGATATATATATTCTTCCTTCTTTTGCCCAGTTCAGATAAAAGTGAGGGTCAAGTATTACCCATTTCCTCCAACCCCTTTCTCCTTGTTCGTACAGTCTTCTACTCTAGCATACTGATTATATAATTTTCCTTCTTCTTTCTCTCTCTTTCCCCCCATCCATCTGCCTCCACAGTGTATTCCTTTTCCCTTTCTTTTCTTCTTTTAAGATCATCAAAACATAATGAAATCTCTTCCAGGCCATCTGTCTTCTTAGATTCCATGGCCCTTGATGATAATAGAGTTCTGATGGGACACACATATCATCTCCCTATATTAAAATGTAAACAGTTCATCTTTTTTTTTTTTTTTTTTTGCTTTTTGGTGAGACAATCGGAGTTAAGTGACTTGTCCAGGGTCACACAGTTAGTAAGTGTCAAGTGTCTGAGGTTTATCTTTGTTTAGTCTCTTATGATTGCTTAATCATGTTTATCTTTCTGTATTTCTCTTGACTTCTGTATTTGTATTTTTCCTATACAACTCAATTTTTTCATCAAGACTGCTTAGAAGTCCTCTATTTCATTAAAGATCTATTTTTATCCCTGTAGCATTATGTTTTGCTGAGTAAGTTATTCTTGTTTGTAAGCCTGTATCTTTTCCCTTCTGGAACATCAAATTTCAAGCTCTCCACTCTCTTCTAGTGGTAGCTACTAAATTTTCTACAATCCTGACTATAGATCCTCAATACTTGAAAGAGTCTAGAGATCAAATTTCAAGAAATCAGGTTTCAATAATTCTTAAATTATCTCTCATCAATCTGTTTTCCAAGTCAATTGTTTTTGCTATGAAATGTCTTACATGTTTTCTTCTATTTTTTCAATTTTTTGACTTTGTCTGGATATTTCTTGTTGTTTCATGGAGTTATTAACTTCTACTTGGTTCATTCTAATTTTCAGGGAGTTTGTTGCTTCAGTAAGATTTTGTACCTCTTGTATGTAGTTGTTCATTCCCCTTCTGATTCTTTCTTGAATTGTTCTTTTTTTCCATTTCCCACCTCGGGCAGTCTCATTTCATTTATAAAAAACATTTTAAAACTCTTTTAAAAAACATTTGTTTAAAAAAACACTTTGATTCATATTTCCCATGAATTATAGTTGAACTTGTGGCTAAACTATGTATTCTTTTGAGGCTTTTCTTATAGATGTTCTGGAGCAGGGGTGGGGACTGGATTCAGTCAAAAGGCCCAACTTGAGGATCCAGAGGGCCACATGTGGCCCTGAAGCCCCAGGTTCCCCACCCCTGTGTTACAGCCATTATCTTCTTTTGGGTTTGCTCCCTAAACATTCTCGTCACCATAATATCTTTTATGGGAAGATTCTTTTCTGTTTGATCATTCTGTCAGCCTGCTTCCTTACTTCAGACTTTATTAGGGTCAAACTCTCACAATTCTGGAGGAAATGTCTGGGCCAAACCTGTGTCCTCTTGGGTCCAGCTACTGTTTTCTTGGAGTATTGAGTATTAGGTTATTCTAAGATCTCAGGGGCAGCTCAGGCTGGGCACCTGAACACTCTTGAGTGCTCCCAAAGTAGTTTGATCCAGGGCAAAGTCAGATCACTCTTCCCCTATCTGAGCTTGGCAAGTTCCTGACCCTATGTTTAGGATTTGTTCTGGTATATTTTCTAGATTTTTGTGGAGGAACTTGGTTAGGCAGCTCACTGCATTTCCTGCTATTCTTCCATTTTCTCTCTGTTTTCATCTTGGGGAATAAAGGCAGGGTTAGCAATATGATGCCAAAAATAAGAAGACCCCGTAAACATTTTTTAAAATGCAGAAATGAAAAGGTAAGGAAGTATACTTCAGACGGAAGTACAAGCAGGACAGTTTTGAAAATATCTTGTGGAATTTATTATACACTTAAAGAAAAGCAAGCTTATGAAATGGAGATTTGCAGTTTCATACAGAATCCTTTTTTTTTTGGTCTCATGATGCATATATGGAAATGTGCTTTTTTTGTTGTTTATATTCAGAATTAAAACAAATTTAAAATAATAATTTGACTACTATCAGGCAGCTGGTTTCATTAGAGGGTTTCCAGTGAGCATGAGCTGACTTCCCCAAATACCTCAGTGAGCTTAACAGAAATAACTTGCCTTCAAGCTCTTCAGCGGTCTCCCAGTTTTAATCCCAGCACACACAGCTTCTGATGTGGGGGCACAGCGCCCAATTCAATATTGATCTCAGAGTATAGAAAAAGAGAATGAAACATTGCTCTGAAATATTAACAGAATAGAAATTTTAATTTCCTTCCGTCTGGCTGATCCTTTCTCTTTGATATCTCACGGAGAATCCATACATCCATTCTATCATAACAAAGACAATGAGTAAAATATTTGTAAAGGAATCCTTCACGGACCCCTCAGTCCTAAGGCCTCCGGCTGACCTTCCTGACCGCCCGAGGGCATGGAAAGGATTAGAGGAAGGGGCTGGAGACCTATTTAAAGCAGAAGACTGTGGCCTTTTAAAGTCACAGCCAGTATATCTGCAGGTGGGATCGAAGCCCAGCTCTTGGCGCCTTGGAGACCCTTCCCACAATAGCTCCAGCTGTCTGTCCACATTTGTGCTCCTAATTAAGGGAGATCGCGGCAGTCCGAGCACCTCACCCCCCAAACTGTGAAGACTAGACAGGTGGGGGGGGGGCCCAGTTTGGGAAGGGCTTTAAATGCCACACAGAGTGGCCTGCAATAGATTCGGGGTAATACGGAGCTACGGGAGCTCGCAGAGGAGAGCTGGTCCACACGGTCCCGTGCAGCAGCCTCCGTTCTGCCAGGCAAGGTGGAGGGCTGGACCCGTCTGGGTCTCCGGGGCAGCGCCCCGCAGATAGCCCGGCTTGCAGCGGGGTCAGTGCCCAGCCGGCTGGCGTCCTTCCAGCCTCCGGCGTCTGCTGTCGGAGGGACCGGGGAGGGCACTTAAGTCCTCGGGGCTCAGTTTCCTCCTCTCTAAATGAGGGGGTTGGGCCAGCCTCCTCCAGGTTCCCTTTGCCACAGCAGCTCTGCAGCTGTCGCCCGAGCCTAGGGACCGAGATCGAAGGGGACTGACAGCGAGGCTCGCCGGCGTTCGCAGCGCAAGGCTTGTGGCCCTCGCGGGCCGCCGTCCTCTCCCCGTCCCGGACGTTGCGTCAGAGCCCCGCCCCCGCTTCCGGCGCTCCCGGACGGCGCGAAAACCCAATTGACAAAAATCTCTGCCCGCCGAGCTCGGCCCTCCCTTGCCGCTTGCACCCTCCCCCCGCCCCCCCCAGTTCGAACCCCAGCGCAGCCCCGGCGCCCAGACCCTCGAGGGTCGCCTGCCGGCGGGGGGAGGGGGAGACGCCCGCGCACCGCTTCTGGCTTGGGGGGTCCCGCATCCGCGCCCTTTCAGCGGGGGTCTCTTCCCGCGGCTCGCGCTCCCCCGGGCCCGGCCCTGTACGTCATGGCACCGGCGCGCGCCGACTCCGGGCCCGGCCCCGCCCGCGCCTGAGGGTCCTGCAGCCCGGGAGCCGAGCCGGGTACCATGGTCGGAGTGCTGGCCATGGCTGCGGCGGCGGCGGCTCCGCCCCGAGCGCCCGGCAAGGACTTGGATGTCCAGGTGAGCCTTGCACCCTGCCCTGGGCGGAGAGCTCACCACCTCCGGGGACAGCTAGCCCCCGAGCTCTGGCATGGTGCCTGTCCGATGCTGGAAGGGCCTGCCTTGCTGCCTCGGGAGCTGCGGCTGGGAAGCCGGGGGGCGGGGCACGGGGTACGGTCTAGTCTGGGGGAGGGGTGCTGTACCCCTCCACAGACTGCCTTTAAGCGCTTTGAAGACATTGCCCCGCACACAGCAGGTACTTAATAAATGCTCGCTGGGGCGTCGATGGTCCTGCGGAGGAGGGAAGCCAGAGGCCCCAGGTCCGGGGCTCACTTCGATGTCCACCATCCGTGGCACTGTGCTACCCATCCCCGTGCCTCAGTTTCCCCACCTGTAAAATGATACGGCCCCCAAGGTCCCTTCCACCCCTAGAGCTAGGACCCTCCCCCCCTCTCTGGAGTGCAGACCCCCACCCTGGGCGTGTGTCCATGCTTTTGAGCCAGGGGAGCGTCCCCGGTAGCCGGGGGCTTTTCTGGGCTGCCCACCAGCCCATCTTCTGTGTAGCCTTTCAATGCGTGGTCTGCCTCCCCGCCCCCCCATCTGCACCCTCAGACCCTTCCCTTGTAGCCGAGAAGAGGCACTGCGGCCCCGGGGGAAGTCTGGCCGTGGCAGTGATGGGGACAATGACAGAAGCCGCCTGTGGAGTTCCCCCCTTCTCTCACAAATGACAGCTTTGCAGGAAGAACGCTGGACCGGCTACCAAGTGGTCACTGGGTGGTGACTGAAGTACTGACCTATTTTGTTCTTAGTGAAATATCTCTAGGGAATTTTGAATTCTGACAGTAAATGAGAGAAGAAGAGCATTTCTTGACTTCTGTGACATGGAAACTGTGACAGTCTTTCCGTTTGACTTGTCACACCTGTACATTTAGTTACATGTGAAATACTTGGCAAGTAGTTGTTTTCGTTCTGGTCAACATACATGAGTGTCTAGACAACAGCTTTAGTTAAGATAAGTGATGAATCAAGCTCAGTGTTTCTTCCCATCTGCTGCCTGCCTTTTGAACACTCAGCTAGCATTTACACCTTTGAAGAGATGAGACATGGTAAAAACCATTTTTGGTTCATAGTTTTGCTTCTTGTTAAAAACTCTTGCAAAAAAAAAGAGTTTGGTAAATACTTGAAACTTGGTGAAACAGAACTTTAAAGATTCTGGATGAAACATAAAACAAAAAGGTAGCATTAAGTGAGCCACCAATACTGTGATGTCTGGTTTCTGTTAAATATGAAAACCAGATTACTAATTTATACTAGGCATGAAAAGATACACATTACTTCAGATCCTTCCTTAAAAACTACTGTGATGCAAGAAGGTTGGCCACTGCTTTAAAAGATAACAATTAGAAAGACTGAAGTTGGGGCAAATGGCTCCCCCTAAAACAGTCCATAGGTCATATAAGTTGCTTTGTTCTAGGTATTTCTAATGTTTTCTTACTTTTTGAATATAGTTTCCTTATTTGATATACATAAATTAGTGGGTTTTATTTTAAAAAATCTTTTTCTTCATTCCTTCATTTGTTTATTTAGGTAAAAATGCAAATTTCTTTTTACTGGTATTATAAGTAAGACTTATTTTCTTTTTTTATATATTTTATTTTCCCCCAATTACATGTTTTTTCTTTTCTTTTAAACTTAAAGCCATGCAAGAAGCAAAGGAAAGAAGATGATGGAGCTTCCTGTAAAACCATTACTGAATATATGTCACCAATAAGGAAGACTGGAGACAAAGTTTTCTCCCCACCAAAATCTAATAACATCTTGGATTACTTTAAAAGGACTTCACCCATAAATGAAAAGCCTTCTATATCTAAGGAGTGCAAGATACAGTCATCTAAACCATTGCATGTTGATGATAGCAAAGAATGGAAAACACTTTTGAACAGTCCCTCCAATTTAGAGCCTAAGTCAAGGGGAAAGAGAATTAATTTATCTCAACAACTGAATGATATTAAAAAATTGGAAAATGAACCCATAATAATTAGTAGTGATGACAGCAGAGAAGAAACAAGCTTCGATAATGTTTTTGTGGGTAGTGATAATGATACTTCTGCTTTACTTACCCTGAAAAATGTAGAGCCCGCCTCAGGAGGTAGTTACAGTAACAAAAAGCAATCAAGCACCATGTCCTCTCAAAAAGATAAAAAGAAAGTAAACTCTGAACAAAGCATCACAAAAAATGACTGCAAAAAATTAAGGAAAAGGAAGCACAAAGATGATAAAAACCAACCTAGAAATTTATCATTAGAAAAAGAATCCAGCCAACAATCCAAAAAGGAACCCTCAGACAATAAGCAAGGAACCGGGCGAAAAACTGATGAAGTTGTGGATCCTATAAGTGATTCCAGCCCTGGAGTTCATGTGTCCGAGACAGCCCAGGTAAATGATAATACAGTAACTGTATCTTATGAAGAATTTTTAAGAAGTCAGGAAGAAAACCCATTGGAGTGCATACAAAGACCAAAAATATCAGCTTGTAGTCATTCTGATACTGCTGATGAAGTTGATAAAAGTGGGAGCACTAGTGATCTTGAAACCAGTGAAAGTTCCCAGCAGCTGCCCCTTAAAACAGTGACTGTCCTTGCACAAATCCATGCTGTGCCACCAAAGCCTCTTTCAAGGATAAAGGGGAAAAGAACTCTGAAAATACCATCAATTTTCTTGAAACAAAAGGAAAGTGAAATTGCAAATAATCTTCCCGAGCCTGAAAATGAACAGACAGTTCAGAAAAGAAAATCCAATGTAGTTATAGCAGAGGAAGAATTAGAGTTGGCTGTATTAGATGCTGGAGGCCCTGAACCCACAAAGCCAAAATGTACTGTGGAAGAAAGACAGCAGTTCATGAATGCTTTTAGGCAACCTGCATTTGATACTGTTAAAAGTGGAGTTAAAAAATCCTTGGAAAGACAGAAAGATGCTCAGGAAAAATCTTTGAAAGAGGAAGGGGGTAAAGATGACTCAGTTAAAGGAACAGAATGTCCTGAAATGCAGAAAGATTCAAATAATGACAGTTCACAGCCCTGTGATCCTAAAGGAAGCCCAGCAAAAGGAAAAAGAAAAAAGCTTCGGAAAAAGCATAAGAGAATATTGGCAATTGAGAATGCTGCTAAGGAAGAAAATACCTCGTGTGATGTAAATATTAAGCAAAGTCCAAATGGTATCAGAAGAAGTCTGAGGCAACAGAAAACAGAAGCTTCCAAAAGTGCTCTCTTTCTTAGCATTACAAGCGCCATTTCTGAAGACATCTCAGGCCACCGTCCTTTACATGTTTCCACTCCCAAAGCCAGCCGTAAATCATCAAGAAAAATCACCACGCCAGTAAAGAGTGTCGGAGTTACATATCCTAAAGACGTTTTAGATGATGGCCTGGTAAATGATTTCACTCCAAAATCGACCCGAAAATCTTCCCAAAAAAGCATGGTAATAATTAGAGACACTGATTCTGAAGATATACAAGTTGACAGTCCTAGAAAGGTTTCCACTAAAGCAGCTGCCAGCACATCTTTGGAAGAGCATGGCTTGTATGTGGCTGAATTGATAACAGTGCCCTTTGATTCAGAGAGCCCTATTAGGTAAGAACTTGGCTTTTCCGGAATGCTTTAGAGTATTTTGTATGCTAGAGAATAGCTCTTATTAATAATAAGTTATTTTTAGTTTTTTCCCCCACCCAGAACCTAACTTGCTTATTTACAGAATGAAAAGGGAACTTTAAAATACCATTTAATGCACAAATTTTATATATGGATCATGTGTCATTACCTAGGAGACCTAGATGTGTTTTAGATAAAATTCTTATTTTTCAAAGTATCTAAGCTATAATGTTTCAGAATTACTATCCTTTACATAATGAGTTTTATGCAGTTAAGGTTTGGATTAGAAATAAAATGTACACACTTATTTGTAGGATAGGTGAGCTATATCAAAATAGGAAAAAGCATGCCTTCTGGTAAATAGGACAAAGTGACCTTAAGGTCAAACTTGCTTTAAATCTGATTTAGTGGTGTTTTTTTTTTTCCTTAATAGTATTTTTTCCCCATTACATAATGTAGTTTTTAACATCATTTAGTGTTTTTTGACGTTCTCATTTTGAAATCTTTTCAAACAAAAATTTGTCTTAACTTACTTGAATTTAATTCTTCCTCTGAGTAGGCAGCTTGAAAATGATTAGAGTCACCTTTTGTTTTCCTATTTTGTAGTCCAATTGAATCTCTAGTTGGCTTATTTCTGTATCACATGTTAAGGTTTTCACATGGTGATGAATAAAATGTTTCTTGACATCTTTCCTTTTTCAGGATGAAATTTACCAGAATTAGTTCACCCCCCAAATCCAAGAAAACAGAAACAGATGATGATTTTGCTCCCAAGAGCAGAAAGGTAATTACATATGAGACAATTCAATAAGTTTTGTCTTCTGTTTATTCTTTTTAAAAACTATTACTGGTAGAAATAAGTTGGAAGAAAATTAATGTGTATTTTTATAGACATATTAATCACCATCCTGAAACATTTTTCATAGTATTTGTATTTCTCCTGTAGTTTTGTCAAAGTATCTTGTTGTTATACTAAAATCCCTTAAAAATAACAGGCCTGAAATGGTCAAAAGTTTCCTGTGAGATAACTGTCCAGTCATCCCTTTTCATATTTAGCTTATGTATGGTTATTGGCTCAGAAATTTATTATTATCCCAGGAAAAATAGGGCTCATTTGAATAGGGATAGGGACTGGACCTATAATTTCATTGTTTTAGGGAACCCCAAGGTGAAGACTCTTACTCTACCACTACACCAATGCAATTTACAGTCTTAAACAGTCAGCAGAGGTGTTCAGCATCCTGCCTGCCTACAGCACTCTCCAGTATACCCCAATCAGATTAAAATGTAATTGGGAAATATCTAACAAAACACAGATTCCATTATATTTTTAAACTAGGTCAGTATCCAGCCCACAGGGATCCTAATGTGAGGATCAGTGGCCCCCATTTCTGTTTGAGCTTGACGGTGCTGGCCTAGAGCACCAACAAGTTAAGTGATTTGTCCAGGGTCACACAGTCATTATGGGTCATAGGTGGTACTTGTACCCAGGGTTTCCTAGCTTTGAGGCTAACTCTTCACTCTACCATGTGGCCTCTATCAGTTTAAAAATTTGGGGACCTTATCCTTATGCTCTTATGCAAATTTTTATACTACCTAGAAACATCCCCTTGCATTCAGAATCTTTTAGCCCAGAGGCATTTTCATTCTGAACAACATTAATTCTATCTGCCGGTTATTACTGGGGGAAGCCTCTGGGAATCAACCTTGATACTCATCCACCAGTTCTTCTCTTTCTCACTTAAAGTTGGCCCCTGAGGGTGAGAAGTGAGTGAGTGTTCTTGGGTCCCACAGATCCCATTCTCTGAGACTGTCTTTGAGCTGGCCATGCTTAGAGCAGGCGCTCTTCAGCCCACCTGTCATTGACCCAGTGTGATGAAAGCCAGCAGAGTTTGGAATGTGGGCTGACCTAGGAATCTGGCACATGCTTAGAATCCTATCTGCTGCTGCTGTCCTCTGAAGCCCAGCCTATGCTTGTCCTTTCCCTTCCCATTCTTACTGCTATCACCCTCAGAGATGAGTTCAGATCATCCCTGTGGGTCTCCCTGATTCTGTCCTCTCCCCTTTCCAGTTTGTCCTTCATGATGCTGAAGCTTTCATAAATAGCCCTTAAATATCCCTTTCATGGTCACTTTCTTTCCTGCTTTAAAACTTTGAGTTAATCTCTCATGCCTTACAAGTTAAAGCCCAGCCTGACAATTAAGGCCTTATCTAATAGTCCAGGCCTCCTATGTAGAAATCTCTTTTCTCACTGTTCTTTAGTTAGCCTGAGCTTTCCTGCCTTGTACCTTTCTGTTCTAAAATATTCCCCCCTTATCTCCGTTTATCTAAATTCTACCTATCCTACCTGTCCAGTTAGACTTAGCTCACATCCTATCTCCATCTAATCTAAACCAGGGAAGAGATCTCTCTCTTTTTCTCCTTCTCAGGTCTAAATTACAGCACTGTTTGCGTCAATTGGCACTTATAATTCACTACTTTTGCTTGTTTTTTTATGTGTAAATGTTTTTTTTTCTTAATATTCAGATGGTCAGGTATTTTTCTTTTCCTTTTCTTACATTTCCCTTCTGCCTCATAAGAGTGCTTACTTCCTTCAAGACTCAGCCTTTCCTGATCTCCCCAGCTACTACTCTCCTTCCTTCCAAAACTACCCTGTATTCTGTATATACTCGAATAGTACAAGTTGTTTCCCTCAAGTCAACGTAAGCTCCTTGAGGACAGGGTTTGTTCTACTTTTGTCTTTTTATCCCCAGTGTGTGGCACATGGTAGGCACCTAATAAATGCTGAGTGATTAATTGTATTTAATATTTGTAATTCGTACTTTTCCTGGTTTTGGTGGCCCGAGTCAGTATAACTTTAAGATAATGAGAAATGTCTTCTTATAATGAATTTAATGTTCTGGTTAGAAATTTAGAAACTAAATTTGCAAAAATTAAACTGTCTGCATCCAAACAAATTCAGACAAGGGATGAAGGTCAGCCCAATATAATTGAACCCAAATTTGATAAAATGTGACTCATTAAAAAATTCATAAACCTTTTTTTCTGTAATCCCTGTTGATATTGAAAGTAGTGAGCTGGTGAGTTCTTTAGTAAATGTTCTATATGAGTTATTATGTAATGTTACAGAATCTTGTTTTGAATTTTTATTACTAGGCAAGCAGTGTTTCTAAAAACATATCAAAGGCAAAGCAGTTGATTGAAAAAGCCAAAGCCATACAGCAGAGCAAGTCAAAGATGAATGAAGAGCGGTCAGCCCCTCTGCGGCGTTCCTCTAGACAACAAGTTCTTACTGAAAGGAAAAAGTTATCAGAGACAGATGTGAGTGTGCTCCAGAGATTTACTGACATAAGTAGGATACTTTGGGAGGAGAAGTAGCTTTCAAGGGTGCACATGCCATTCATCCACATCATTGTGGTGATGGGAAATAACATCTTCGCCCATACCCGGACACAGCAGCACTGCATCTAATGATCTAATGTTTGACCACACTGCCACCCTTCAAAAGTAGGCATCTGTTTTCCCAGTCACAAAAGTTGGTGGTATAAACGAGGCTGTTTAAATGCTTTCTTTTCATCTAGGCCTATTCTGAAACAGAGGGGGAAAGAGAACAGTTTGTTCAATTGAGGGTTTTTTATTAATTTCAATCAACTTTTAAATTCCACATATAAATTTTATGCAGATCATTACATGTAATAGGTTAAAATATCTTTAATCTCTTTATTATTTCATTTTAGCATTCAGTTATAATTGTAGATTCAAGTCCTGCTTCTTCACAGAGTGCAGAGAACAAACAGAAGGAAATCCAGTGTTTGAATGATGTGCTGGGGAAAAAAATGAACAACACTACTAAGGATTGCCGGGGTATATTGCTTTCATGAGAACATTTATGTTAAAAGTTTTTGTTTTTGTTGGTAATGCCTTTAGAAATGGATACTATTTCTCCCCTTGGGAGCTTACCATTTACATCATACTTAATATTATAATTCTAAGAAAAGAAGCTGTCCATTGGTGAACCTTTAAAAGTAGAAGCATGATAAATTCTGATTTACTAAATATCCACATATCTTCCACCTGACATCACTTAGTGTGTTACAGTAGTTTATTCCCAATAAAAGGAAGAGAGAAAGTAACTAATTTTGAAAGCATTTGGTAATAAGTAAGGATAGAAAACATGAATGCTAATCTGTGCTTTTGTTCTTTCAAGGAAAAATAAAAGTGGCTCCTCTGTTCCTGCCTAAAAAACCTCAGAAAACAGCTGAACCTGTTGTAATTTTCGATGATAACAGGTCAGTCTCATGCAAGTTAAGGAACTTAGGAAAATTTGTACAAAGTATTTTTAAATATTTGTGGTGCTTAGGATTCAGGCATATGAATTGTGTAGTGTTCCATTTATGCTTTAACTAATGGTAAAGTGTGAAAATTTCTTACTTACTTTTAGCAGGTTTTTCCATGCTGCACATGTAGGTTATCAGGTTTGCAGCAATAACGGTTATAAAGAATTTGCCACTGATTTTTTATTCTGCTGTTTTCATTGACTGGAAAGATATCCAAGGGTCAAGAGAGAAAGAGAGGAAAGAAGCAACAACATTCTTTATGTGGTAGCTAGTTTCTTGGAACCTCTTAATCGTCAGCAGTTCAGGGTTATAACACAGTAAAGTTCTGTGGTTTTATATCCTTATGTTCCTTCCTGCTTATGGTTTCCCATTTTGGGGGGCAGGTTAGGTAAGCTGGTCAACCCAGCAGTTTTTTAACATGGTGCTTTAAAGAATACAGTACAAAAAAACCCCAAACAAACAATAATATACTAGAAAATTCTGAAATGTCAGTACGTGTTTCTCAGGATTACCTTAATTTTCATTTAAATTCCTAAGCATTTCCTTATTTACTGTGAAACTTTTTTTTCTAATCCATCGTCACCTGTGTGTGTGGCATCATCTGCATCCCATTGGAAAGTCAACATTCATTCTCAAGCTGCTGCTCTCTGCTCTGTCCTCTTTCTCTTCACTTTACCTGTCTCTCTTCTGTACAACTCGAACTTCTGCAGAACAGGAGGGAAAAGCGGAAGCTGGTCACTCTTTCAGCCTCCCTTCTCGTATCTGACTACCCAAGAGTAAGGGATTTTATAGCTGTTTTAGGCGGGCAGACAAGGAACACACACTGTTACCCCCACTGCACAAGTTCCAGCAACTAGGAACCTGAAGAGAAGTTCTACTGACTCACTTATTAGGGTGCATAGTCCTGCAACAGTGTTCTGTTGATTTTTAAAGGTAGCAGTTATTTATCTTAGAAATAGAAAAGTGCTCGATGATGTCTGACTTTTCAAGAGATCAATTTTGCATTTGGTTGAAATTAGCAAGAAAAATAGGGCTTTTTGTACATCTTGTTTCACTCTTAGACAACCATTGTGTGTGGAGTATTTTTCCTTTATTTTCATTCATTATCTATTTAGTTTATCCCAAAATTTTCTTTATTTTTTTCTTTATTTTTCTTTATTTTGTTCAAAGTCAAGATGTATCTGAAAACTCCCAGGATGATGAGCAATTTAAAGCAAAGCGTGAGTTTCTCATGAGTGGCTTGCCGGATTCGTTGAAACGCCATATTGCAAAGAAAGCAGCTGCCTTAGAAGCCTACTCTTCCACAAGTTCCTGTTTCCAGACAGTCGTTCATATACAGCAACGGGACAACTGTAAGCCTGTCTGTTTGTTGGGGTGAATCTTGCTAATCTGCATAAGTATCTAGTTTTAAGCAGTAGGGATTTCATGCCTTGTTTTACCTCTTTTATTTGCTTTACAAGTCAGAAGATGAGGCTGTGGTTTCATTATAACTACCTGTAGCAACTTCACAGGAAACTTTAAATACAGTAATAAACACAGGCAGCATGGGAGGAGAATAGAACATTAGTCAGAAAGTCAAGCATTCTGACCTTTTGACACTTAACTACTGGGTGACCCTTTTAGCAAACTTATTCAACCCCTGTAGCCATGTGCAAGTTACTATATAATTGTTCTCAAGTCTTTTCATGTGCATACAACATTCAACAAATATTCATTTGGCTAGTATGAAATGAAAGTAAAAGCATCTTGTTTCTGCTTTCCTTTAGGGAACCGTTTGTGGAGCTTGATACCCCCTTCATGCCCTCTCTTAACTGATCTTAAAGATCCGAATACCAGTGTAACCAATGTCACCAAACACGTCATTGCCCTGGGTGAATTTTCAGCTCTGAATTCCAGACCCAGCACCACTAATTCTACAGTTGCGGTTAGTGTTATAGAACGTTGTTACCTTTAGGAGACTGTTTCCATTATCAAAGGGTTAAGTGTATAATTCTTTTTCTTCTGCTTCTACTTTTCTAGTAGACTGTAAGCAGCTTGAAGGCAGGGACTAGTTTTGTTTTTATATCCCCAGTGCCTGCCATATACCTACCAATAGTTGAGTAGTAGGTACTTACTGATTTGAATTTCTTTTCAAATGTAGTACTTATGTTGTAATTTAGATGTCTTCAATAATACCTTGGGAAATTACCAGCAGATTAGAAGGCAAAACAGTAATAATATGAACATGAAAGCTCAACTAAAGCTTGACACAGATTCACCAGAAAAGTTCATACATCATTATTGGCGTCTCTCAAAGGGAGGATTTGGTTTCCAGGGCTATGTTAGTATTAATGTATAGTATAATAAAAATCATTATAATGAAGCTTTCATTAAATATTTTACATTATATTGCAGTTGTTGGGAGCAAGAAAAGATTTTACAGAAGAAATAAGGAAGATTCTGCTGGAGGAAATTAGGTGGTCTAATCCTCAGTTTCCTTTAAAAAGATTTTTTACACAGTTTTTAAAAAAGCGAACTGAGCACCAGGCACTTTTTGGATGTCAGAATAAACAAGGTTAGTGACCTCGTGTTAATTCTTCTTATGATTTATATTGAAATTGCATTTTTCAAAGGGCTGTCCTAGAAGTGATTATTGTCTTTAAACAAAGGCCTCGTGCCATCCGTCAGAAGCAGAGATTGCACTGGGGGCACCATCAGGCAGGGCACATAGAAAGGGCCGTGACGGTGCTACCGAGCATCTGTCAGGCAATTCTGGGGTAGGGTCTGATTGGTCATTTGTACAAAAAAAGAATGAAGTTCCACAGGCAGATTTCAGGGCACAACGTCCAAGGTTTACCTGTGCCTGTTGTTGTAATAGGTTTATTTTATTGAATGTTTTTAAGATATTAAAGTTATGTTTTTGTCACTCATTAAAGATGTGTTATTTTTAAACTCTCATGTAGGACATCTACAAATAAAATCCATTGACAGTCAAAGGGAAGCCAAGAGGAAAAGAGGAGAGAGTGAAAACCACAAATCAAAGAGGAGAAAACCAGGTGAATGTGATGAGGACCTAATGAGGAAGGACTTACCCGAGGGGCTCTCCCCCAGCAGAAGGTGGGGCATTGGCTCATCCGAGGGCAAGAGGGAGGCTGGCCAAGGACAGTGTTCCGGAACCTCCAAGAAAAAGCAGGGGGCTTTGAGAAGTGTGACATGTAAAGAAGAAAAGAACACAGCCCAGGATTCTGATGTTGTGATAATAGAAGAAGATAAAAAATTTCCATCAGAGGGAACATCCAGCTCTGGTAATTCTCCCTAATGATTTGGAACCTTTCGGTCTCTCTTCTTACAGTAGTCAAAAGTCTCCTCACTTATATGCTCTTTTTTCCCCTTCTATTTAAAAGCTCTTTGGGCCATTTGCTTATACTTTGTAGTTTATACCTAAACTTTCCCTTATTTTTTGGGATGTCATTAAACAGTAACTTTTTGGTCTTAATCTAAGGAATTAGGGTTTTTGTTCTTTTGCTGAAGTATTTGTTGTTGCTTGATTTAAAAATGTATTCATAGAAATGTCAGTATTTGAAGTTTTCAGTTTGCCTCTCATTTTCAAACGGAAATGTTTTGCCCAATAAATGCAAAATGTTTTGCTTGTAGAGTCTGGAATTGAGGATGTGCTCTGGACAGAAAAATATCAACCTCAGGACTCCAGGGAACTCCTAGACAATGAAAGAGCAATTCAGAAGTTACACAGGTTAGTGACATTTTCCTTAAGAGATCATTGGAGACCAATTGTAATATTGAAAGTTATTGATAGTATTGATTTAAAAATGTTTTGCCATGATTTTCACAAATATTTTGAGTGTTTCTGAAGACAAAATAATGCATCTTTCACATTTATAGTAATATATATTCTGATATTTAAACCTGTGGATTATTTTAAATAATTCATATTTTCTTTTTTCTTTCTTTGTTTTGTTTTTTTGGGTGAGGCAGTCGGGGTTAAGTGACTTTCCCAGGGTCACACAGCCAGTAAGTGTTATGTGTCTGAGGCTGGATTTGAACTCAGGTCCTCCTGACTCTAAGGCCGGTGCTTTATCCACTGCACCACCTAGCTGCCCCAGTGATTCATATTTTTTTTATCACAGTTGGTTGAAAGACTGGAAAAGAAGAGCTGAATTGGAAGAAAAAGGAAATTTGAAAGTCAGAAGTGATAACAAAGAACAAGGTATGAATGAAGATTTTTCCTATGATTGCTTTTTTCCACTTTTATGAAGCTGTGATTTTTAATGTTGTGTTTAGTTATTTTCAATTGTGTCCAACTTCATGACTCCTTCTGGTTTGCCATTTCTTTCTTCAGCTCATTTTACAGATTAGGAGACTCCGGCAAACAGGGTTAAACTGACTTGCCCAGAGACACACAGCTAGTTAAGTGTCTGAGGCCAGATTTGAATTTAGGAGGATGAGTCTTGCTGACTTCAGGCCCTGCACTGTATCCACTTCGACCCTTAGCTGTCCCTTAGGTTAGCAATTAATTCATTTAGATTTATAATTAGTATTTCAGGGTATTTGATTTTTTTGTTGAAAGAAAGTCCCTACTTACATACAATAAATATAAATTTGAATGCCTTGTCTGGTGATGATTGATCATTTACCAACCATGTTATATATATGTGTTTGTCCATATTTCCAGATCTCTCATTCAGCATGGATTTTAAGGACATTTATGATGATGAAGAAGAGAATTCCCTTTGTAATACTGTTCTTATCACGGGGCCACCAGGAGTAGGGAAGACTGCTGCAGTCTATGCTTGTGCTCAGGAGCTTGGCTTTAAGGTTTATTTCAAGGATTTGAAAATCTAAGTGTAAGAGTTACCTTAGATTTCAGATTCTCAGTTCCCTCTTTTTTAAATTTCATGGTTTGTTTTTTGTTTAACAGATATTTGAAGTTAATGCTTCTTCCCAGCGCAGTGGTAGACAAATTCTCTCTCAACTCAAAGAAGCTACTCAGTCTCATCAAGTGGACAAACAAGGTGTAAATTCCCATAAGCCTTGTTTCTTTAACAACTACAGCATAGGCAGATCACCCAGTAAGTGAATGGTTTGTTTTCAAGCACTGCATGTAGCCTTTCAAAGAAAAATCTTTTGAAAATCTTATCAGAACACTAGCAAGGTGCAGCCAGGCAGCAACACTGCATGTCAGTAGAGCTGCTGGAGATTGTGGGGGTGGGATGGGGGCGAGGGTGGAAACACCAAGAAGAGAGCACTCATAACCTCAAGGAAGTTAAGATCTCATTGGAGAGAAATAGTGCAGCCCCAAACAATTAAAGAATAATTAAACCATGTGGTCTTGACTCTAAGACCAGTAGGAATTGGAGAGAAAGAAGATAAGAATGTGAATTGGAGTGGTTAGATGTGGCATCTTGAAAAAGATAATAGGACTTGACATTAATAATAATAAAGGATGAAGAGGCTTTAATTTTGATGGGTAGAGTTGGGGGAATGATAATGGGGGGTGGTACTGGAATGAGCTGGAGAGATCAAGAACATGGTATGTCCCAAACTGGCCAGCGTGCAATGTATATCATTGAAGAACTTTAGGAAGTATGGTTTTCTGGTATAAAATAGCACCCAGATTATTGAAAGACCTGAAAGCTAAACAAAAATGTTTTGATTTGTGGAGATAGAGACAGGTGGGAATAATTAAGGAGAGACTTTCATGTTGAAAGCTGTGTTTTACCACAGAGTCTGGCAACTGTGCACAAGAGGGTGGGCCTGGTGATTATTCTAGGACTCTCGGAGTATGGGCAGTGAAGGCATAGAGGAGTGGTGGCAGTGGGAAGGTCTAAGAAATGGCAAATTGAATAGATTTGAAAGGAATTAACTGATAGAATTTGATGAAAGTTAAATATAGAAGATACAGGAGAAGGAAGAATCAAGCAAGATCTTTTATTTCTACATTGGCAGCATAGCCTAGTGGATAGCATGTTGACTTTGGAATCCGAAGTCTGTGGATTTCCTTCCCTTCTCTGGTACGAGGTGACCCCGGGCATGCTATTGAAGCTTCCTAAGCCATGGTTTCTTCATCTCTAAAAGGTGGATCATGATATCTCGAATACCCACCTTACCAGGTTATTGTGAGGCTTTGTCAAGATGATACCAAGCACTTTACAAACTTTTAAGGGCCGTCGTTTTTATTATCCTAATCTTGGAAGACTAAGAGAACCACAACATTGAAGAAATGGAATGTTTAAGAAGTGGAGCTGGTTTGTTTTGAATGTGTTGAATTTTAGGTGATGGCACAACATTCATGTGGAGTTGTCTAATAAAAGTTAGAAACCTGGGCCTATAGTGCATGTGAGAAGTCAGTGTTGGTAATGACCAATAGTGAGTCCAAAGGGCTCATGATAAAACATACCATCTACCTTCAGATAGAAAGCCGATGGACCCGGTGCAGATGGAAGCTTGTTTCCTTCTCTTTCTTTTTATTTTTGGACATGGCCAGTGCAGGAACTTGCTTTGCACAACTATGTATTTGTAACAGGTTTTGTTTTTCTTGCCTTCATGGGTTAGGGAAAGGAAGGAGGGAAAGAGGGAGAGAATTTGGAAAAGTCCATGTTGGAAATGTAGGTTTGGAAGTCCTCAGTACAGATGTGTTGCTGAAACAGTGAGAAGGGATGAGCTCAGCTTGGGAGTGAATATAGAGAGAGGTTAGAGAATTAAAGATAGACACAGAGGAGGAAGAGCCAGCAAGGAGAAGATATTCAAGGCAGTGGAGAGCCAGGGAATTGCTAGATCAGAAGCCACTGGTCAGGAGAAAGTTTTAGAACTCTGTGGGTGGGAGAGGCCTCAGGTGGAGGTATTGGGTTGGAGAAGGATCTCTGTGAGAGTGGATCCCACAGAAAGCTGATCGCAGGGGACTAAGAAGGGATGGGTGGCTAGAAAGGAGCAGTGGAAAACCGTAGATGGAGAAGTTTGGCAGCAGGCACTGACCCTCATAAAGCAGTGTGGTAGAGGGTGCAGCGTCAAAAATTAATCCCTACGCTCCAGGAACTTCGGTTCTATGGGCGTGTAATGGGCCAATAACCTCTCTACTTCCAGGAAGCCAGGTTGACCAGGCTCCTGAGGTGCTAGCCAACAGAAAGGATTCTTTTTAAGATAGAGAAGATCCGAGCACTTCTGAAGGTGGAAGGAAATGAACCTGTGGAGAGGGGGAGGCAGAAGTTATTGGAAAGGGAAGGAACAGTTGTGGCAATGAAGTGGTAAAGGAGAGGGGAGATAGACTTCAGGATTCAGAGCACAGGAGGGCATGGCAGCTCTCAGGACAAGGCTTCTGAGGAACATCTTCCTGGAGAGAAAGGGGAGGATGGATTGAATGGACAGTGATGGGTTCAAGTGAAGAGGGGGACATGGGAGGGGCCTCCCACTAGATTCTTCTAATGGTCATATGAAAGCAAAGGATGTGTAGGAGGCAAAGTTTGAGAAGAGAAAGTAGGAAGATGCCTGCAGAATTGCTGTGCCCTTGAACGTGCTAGGAAGTTCATGAGAGATGAATTTAGAAGACTGATTAGCAGCAGGGTGGACCAGGAGGCAGCTGGACAATGTGATCCTGCAACACGTCAGGTTCTGGAAGGATTAGGGAAAAGCAGCAGGTTTAGGCACTGTTGTTTTTTGTTTCAAAGGACAAAACTAACCTTCATAAAAAAATGTATTTTTAAAATGACTGATTTCCTCTTATGCACAGACAGAATAAATACAGTATAATAGTATAGGAAATGTGAGCATTAAAAACAAAAGAGAATTCTACAATTTTGAAGAGAGCCTGGACAAATCATTGGCTTCTCCTAGGTAAGGTTTGAAAAGTGCATCATCTAGGCTAGGGGTGGGGAACCTTCAGCTTTGAGGCCGGCCACATGTGGCCCTCCAGGTCTTCAAGTGCAGCCCTTTGACTGCAGCCACGTGTGGCCTGAAGGCCTCAGGTTCTCCACCCCTGATCTAGGCATTGCTTTCTACGTTTTAGTCTCCACTGTAACGTCTTGTATAACCTTAATACAAAAGAAGTGCTTGTGGCCTACACAAGTTTTCTTTGACCTTGAAAATAAAGTGCATTCATAAACTGCACTTAAATGGTATCCTTTGTTCTGCTCTGACACCCTCCCCCCTTCCCCTATCCCCCCCATATTGTGCTTTAAGTGACAGTTAAGGTAGACTGGGATTGAAATAATTTCATCTGGTACAAGGTTGAAACGGGATGTGGAGAGCTCTAACCTGCAGTTTAACTCATGAAGTATTCATTTTAAATAAGATTAAAATAATATTTGTTTTTGGTAGAAGAATTAAGCTCACCTAAGAAAGTTCTCACATCGCCAAGGAAACCTCCACTTTCACCAAGAGTCACAAAACGAGGACTCCCCCCCAAAACTTTGGCAAATTATTTTAAGGTGTCTTCCAAACAAAGTAATAATGAAGTGATGAAACCCCAGAAGAATAATAAAGGTAAGAATTCATAATAGCAAAATACAAGTTAAAAGGAATTATCCTCAACGCATTAGAAAGAGATTATGAAACATATTCTTTAGGTTCCTAGGAGTTACTTATTAAACCTCAGATACTCTGTAGATTCTATTTCTAGGCATTTTGATAACTTATTTCTATTTTTATTAGTTTATTCAGTGAGAACAAGTTAATTCTATTGGAACAGTTCTCTATTAATGTTAGTGAATTTACTTGATGTGCTTATATCACATCTACGTAGAAATTATTTCTTCTGAGGAGAAACAAGAAACTCAAACAAAAAGGACAAACATCTCCAGCTCAAATGTCAAGGAATTAGGAGCCGAGGAATCCAACCGGAAAAATGCAACATCTCTCATTCTTTTTGAGGAGGTAAGGGCGTAGATTTATGAATTACTAATACCACAGGAAGAAATATTGATGCCTTTGTTTTGTGGCTGAACATTTGAACATAAAAAATTTAAAGATTACATTTTTACATTACAAATGGTATCTAAATAGAAGATAAATATCTGTAATATATTAAACATAGATAGAAATTGTGTTTTTTAAGGCAAATGAAGATATTAAATCCTAAGGAAATAAATTTTTTTGAAGAAAGGGCACTAAAATGAAAGTATTTCCTGCCTTTCACGGTCAAACTCGGGGAGAAAAAAAACCAACACACCATTAATATTCGTTTCTTCCATTTCTCAATCCCTTGCAGTCTAGCTTCTGAGACTACCACTCAATTAAAACCACTGTCTCTAAAGTTACCACCCATCTTATAATTGCTAAATTGCTAAATACGGTGATCTTTTCTCCATCCTTTTCCTCCTCCTCCTCCTCTTCCTCCTTTACTTCTGCAGCATTTAACCCTGTTGACCTGTGTTCCCATACGCCCTCTCATCTTTGGGTTTTGGAGACCCTCTTCTCTTATTCTCCTCTTCGCCGTCGTCTGTCTGTCTGAGCACTGCTTTGGGGCCGTCCTTGTAGACGCTATGGTTCACAACCTCAGAGCCATCCTGCACCTCTCCCTCTTGGCCTCATCCAGTGGCCCCCCCCACGTCCAATCAGGTGCCATGTCTGGTTGGCTCTTGTGTGGTCCCTTCATTGCACTGTTTTGTTCAGTGGTCTCCTTGCCTCTGATCTGCCCTTGCCCCATTCACCTCCTACACAGCTGCTACCTTGCTAGTCCTCAAACGCAGGTCTGACCCTGTCACCTTCCTGTAAAAAATAGTGAGCCTCTGGCTCCCTATTGCCTCTTTGACAAAATACACATGCCTCTGTCATCGAAAGTCCTTCACAGCCTCATTCCAGCTAAATCTCCCCATTTGTTCTTCCTTCTGTACCCACTTGGCATTTTTCGCCCTTGGCCTTTGCAGAACCCAGCCCTCTATACTCTTTTGTCTTTATTATCTGGTCACACATTGTTTGCCCCAAGTCTAATGTAATTTACTTGAGGGTAAGGACTGTTGTCATTTTTGCTTTTGTTTCCCCAGCACTGAATATAATGTCTGACACTTAATGAACGTTTATGGAGTTGGAATATCATCAATC